AATTATGTTGATTTTTATTTTCCCTAAGATTGTATTCGTGCATCCTGTGAGGATGAGGGAATAACGTTGTAGGGATTGAATGGCCCTGTATAATCATAGCATCTTTGTTATTCATATCCATCTTTTCACAGCAGTCTAATCCACATGCATATTCAACGTGCCGCGGACAATCAGAGGTTCAGAGCCGACAACATGCTCGTCCGCGGGGAGGTTGTTCCCTGCTTCCTCTGCGCTGTTTGTTGACAGCATCTCCGTGGAAATAGGGATGGTGCTACATTTTATCACAGAGCATGAAGCGGCGCTGCAAATGAAAACACTTTGTGCTCACATAAATTATATATATATTTTTTTGTATCACAATATTGCATCAATTTCTCACACAATGCTGTGGAAATTATGTTGCGAGCGAGTCGTAATGCCTGGAGTATTTCATCAGTGTGGTTGCCATATTTGTGTTAAAAGGCTTTGAATGAGGACAGAATATAAAACTGTCAGTGCATCAAGTTAACCTCAACAAATGGAAAGCTTCAGTGCACATGAGATATTTTAATATGTTATAAAAGGGCTCTAATGCTGCAATAATATTTGTAACTCTGGACAAAACAACATTATCATTCTATGTTGGTTTACACTTGCCTTAACATGCAATATATTATACATCCAAACAAACGTATCACCAACTTTTCAATTGACAAAACCCCCTGTGGGAGAAATAATAATCAAGGACAAATTAGCTTTTGCCATTATTTTTGGGGATTTTGGATAAAAAACGTGATATTATTTGGTTAGAAATTCGTCTGAACATGCTATCTTTTAGATACAAACGCATGTATCATTTGCATTTGACTTAAGGAGAAATGTATTGTTGCTGCTTCACACTTCAATATACTTTAGATGCAAAATAACAAAAGTATTCAAAGTTTATAACGCTGTTGTGTACTTACATCAGCGTCAGATAAAGTTCAGTATCAAAGCTCCAATCAATAACAAACCAGGCCAAATGCTTTCAACTCTCGTTCTCTTTTGACTTGCCCAACACTGCTAAACTTTCTTTTATTTAAAAATCTATAGAAACTCTTCAAATGCTAAATATCTCTCCTCTTTGATCCCAAGATCAAGATCTGTCGATGTGGGGCAGGAAGTCGCTGACACTATGCTGAGGAAATGGAAATGAGCTGTCTGGATGTTTAATTTCAGAAGCTCAAAATCCAAGAGCGGTGATTGAGGATTTTATTGCATTAGAGACTAAGTGAACAAAAGATTGTTTTATTTTGCTTTTTTTAGTTGTATTGATCCAACTGTTCTTTGACCTTTTTCTCTTGTGGTTTCTATCATTTAAAAAAACATTGTGTTGAGTATTGTTATTTTGATCTTTCTGTATTAATGGTGGAACATTGTAGAAGCCGGTCAATCATGTGTTTAGTCCTAATTGGATAATTGCCAAAGGATTCTGCCTTATGGTGAACATATTGTTGGTATGTTTCCTCTAAATGTCCATGATGAAGGCTCTTTTTCATAAACTGCTCTTCCATGAAATCAGCACATGTTGCTGTTGTGCTTTTTGATATTTATATTTACCAAAAGCACTGAGCTACTGTGGCCTTTATCTGAACTCTGACCAGTTTGAGCATTAAAGGATCTTTGTGAGCGAGAAAGAGACTGTTAAGACTACTGTCTTGCTGTTATTGATTTCCAGTGAGTCAGTTGTGATTGGTCAACCGGTTAAAGATGTCCCGCCCTTTACCCTATCATGTACAATGTGTTGGAGTTAGCCAATAGAAGCTGTTTAGTGTCCGGGCTCCTATTCTCTAGTTTTGGATAGCTTATTGGGGTATCCATTTTCAATCAACCAATCAATTCACATATCTCAATGACGTCTTATTACATTACATTACACTTGTTTGACGCTTTTATCCAAAGCGACTCACATACATTCAGTACTGTGGGCAATCCCCACAGCAGTAATTTGGGGTGAAGTGTCTTGCCCAGGGACACAACAACATGCTGACTGCAGTGGGACTCGAACTTGCTACCCCCTGATTCGAAGTTCAGCGCACTACCCACTGAGCCACAGCCTCCTTATTGTTGCTGTTCTAACTCAAATCAATTGAATTGATTGCAATTAGATTGATGATCTGTTAGACAGAAGCACATGGAGGTTACATGTGTATGTACAATAAACTTAAAACTTAAATAGAACAAAAATGGATGGCAACAGTCCCAAACATGTGCATTTGTTTAAATTATGACAACTCAAGCAAGTTCTGAAATGAAAAAAGTTCTTCCTCGTTCAGCAAATGTTCAACATAGATTTCAAAAGTGACAAACACTAAGTCAGTGGTACCAGTCAGGAGAAAGATGGAATAAATCATGTAACCTTAATCCCTAGAAAGAGCTTTTTAAAATTGTTCATTTAATATAAGGAAACCTATCTCTATCTGTCATGGTGGCAGGTTACCTGATATTTTCTGCACTTCACAGCCCACATTTACTCTGCTTTTGGCAGGTGGCAGGTGCAAATTACATTCCCTTTATGCAAGCAAATGTGGATCAGAGCAGCAGTAAAGTGGCCTGAAAGCAGAGCGGAGGGGGGAGTTGAATCTGTTTTTAAAATAAAGCAAACAAACCTGTCACCTGTTCACCTGCACACAACTGATTTACTTTGCACTTAGGAGGTCCCAAACCATTTGGCAAATGCAAGCTCAATTTCCTGTGACTCAACTCGCAGCTCCATCTAAATGGCTGGTATTCTGGATATTACCATCATTTCAAGACTCATTTACCTGAAAAACATCCTGAAACAGCATCACTCATGTTCTCTCGCTGCTAACTGCTCCCACCTGCCAGCCGTCATCAAAAAAAAAGAAAAACTGGCACCTCCAGTCGCCAAAAACAAAGTCACGCACGGCGGGGTTTCAGCAGTTCTGGTTACATTTGGCAGACCTTTATCCTGCTCTCCCGACAAAACAGGTGATGCACCCTGCAGCGCGGAGCTCAAATGAACAGAATGTCCCTGAAGCAGCCTCCTCATCATTGTACACCAGATGCACTCGAGCCAAAAGATACGCTACACGAGCGACTTTGCCAAAACCAATTTCAGAAATGTTATTTTCCTGCTGTTGTCATAAAATACAAACTGCTATCTGATCGCAGAACTCAAACTGAACGATGGAGTGTGAGCGTGATGCAAATGTCAGGCTGCAGGATCACTTATGTTTCATGTGCACAGGGTAGGGAGGGTTACTTTTAAAAAGATGTAATCAGTGTCCTAATCATAGTATCAAAATATAAAATAAGTTTAACCTGAATTGCCTTGTGTTGAAAGGTGCTGTATCAATAAACTAGCCATGCCTTGATCACCTCCTGTTACTTTTTGATTGTCTTAATATCAAATGCAAATCAAATTAATACATGAGAAAATAAATATCAATTAGTTGTTATACTTAAGTGTATTATGTAAAGCTAGTAATGTAATCAGGATACAAAAAAGGTGACTATATTCTCTACATGAAAAAGCAGTTTACAAATAAGAATTGGGTTTACTAGCAGGATTACAATGTTACAATACATTTGAACCATAAACATGTTCATCATTATGACTTCTAGTGTAAACAAATGCTATCACTGGGTGGATTATTTACCATCTACTGTATTAATTCAACTAAAACGGAGCATTTTCTGTCAGCTCAGACTTCATTTCTGCTTTTTAAACTTTAGTATGTGCTCATGTGTTTTGTATAGGCTACTGCCAGTAGATCTGTACAGTGATCTGATCTTTGAATAATGTTACTGCAAGTGAATACCTTATTTTGTATCCTGATTACGTATAATCCTGTTACATATAATCGCTTACTCCCCAAGCCTGTATGTATGCATTTGCATGTGCTGCCATTAAAATCACATCTGTATGTATAACACTGACTGCTGCGTTCATGGTATTAATTTGAAACGTGGCATTTAGGATGAAGTCCCTCCAGCGTTATATTTCCCCTTTTCCAAAACAAAGCAATCTACTCACTGCTACATCTCCTCATTTCCCCGGCTTAATTGAAATGGGTGCGCCCTGTGTGTGTTGCCTATTTCATTTCCAAAACACAACAAACAAATCTTTTACAAAATGCTCATTGTCCTGGAGCTAATTTGAAGGCGCCAGCTTCCCCTTCTGGTCTTTTTATCCCCTGCACATAGAAATACTTTTCCCTGGGAGTCTAGTGATAGTGTTGGAGGAAGTATCTGCAGTATTTATTTGGTCCCCCTCACATAGATTAAGCTTCAGAAGCCGCCTCATGGCAATTCAATCTATCAGAGGGTGGCGGCGAGCGCTCCGTCAGACCTGCTTAAATAATTGCAATTTAAATGAATGTGGATTCAGAGGCGTTGACAACACGGCTGCTGGGACTGACTTTCTGCCGCCTTACTTCCTGGTTTGTCTTCTGTTAGAAAAATATCACTCGTCACCGGCTTGAGCTTCAATATCAGGATACATGCTCTGGCTGCTAACATTTTCCATGCTGTCTGCACTGCTAAACAGACATGACAATTCAGTACCATATCGCACCGAGACATGATAACACCGGTCTACTACTATGACTATTATAAACTCTCCCTGCCTGCCAGTAGCTTTGCCAATATCTGTGTTGATAGGTAATAGATTAAGAGCGGTGAATCTGCTTAGAAACAGGAAGCGCTCAAACGTTTGTGTGAGTTTATCAAATTTAGCAGTGATTCCATGTCAGCCACAGCTTGTCACAAAACATCTGACTGATAGTGTATTTAACAAACTTAAACCAGGTCTCTGGCAGGAAAAACATTTTTAATCAATGATTTTATCACTGAGCACAATCTCAATTTTATGTTTTTAACGGAAACTTGGATTGAACAAAATACGGTACAAGCTACGTAGGGCCTTTGTTACCATGTGTACTCTGATATTGGAAGAGTACATTTAGTATTTTCCCAACATTTTCCTTCCTCTCATGTGTGCTCCTCTCTGTTTGCAGACACATAGAGAACTGGACGGGCCTGCAGACTCTGAGAGACGTGGACATGGAGCTTTACACCGGACTGCAGAGACTGTGAGTGTGCAGGGACGCTGTGATCTGGGGGGTTTGGGGGTTGGGGACACCTGTGATTGAGACACTGTATTTAAGTCCCAATGTGTTGCAGATGTGGAAAAAGCAGCTGTACTGCTGTTAAATCCCTGTTTTCATCTGGTTTCCTGCATGTTCACCAGGGTTGGGAGGGTTACTTTAAGCATGTTATCCGTTACATTAGTTACCTGTAAAAAGAAATAACCTAATCCAAGTATAACAAAACAAAAGTAATGACACCTGATAACTTTACGATACTTTTGGATTGTCAAATTCAATGCAAAACAATACAAGAGAAAGGAAATATCGATAAGCATTAAAATAAAAATGTTGTGTAATTAACAAAGATAAACTGATGTTTTTTAGTGGATGAGTAATGCAGATATCACTGTGAAATAATTTGACAGTGAGGGGAATACGGTTTTATTATGAAAACTTCGAGACCGGAAATACTGTTTTCACCCTGTGAGGGTTGACGCTAACTTTACATGGACGCTGCCATTACACATTCTCCTGGCGAGACCTCAAATCATCTATCAAACTATAGACCCTACATATCCACTGGACGTGGATTCTAAAAGTACAATATGGTAGAAATCTAATCAAAAAGCGTTTTAATGGCCAAACTATCCTACAATTTAGGATTTTCCAGAGAGGGTTATTTGTGAATATACGACCCTGCGTAGCGTTTGCAATCAACGGGAGCACTAGAGGTCGAAAACTTTAAAATGTGATTATAGGTCGTAATAAGCGCTTGAACAATCGACCTATTTGGTCATATGAATTGGAGGACTTGTTGCAACGGAAACAATGGGACTCTAAAAAGAGACATCAGAGCGCTTGTTGACATTCGGGGATTATAAAGTTAGCAAACTGTCACTGGAAACGTACCTAAAATGTTTTATTGGCTTATTTTAACAATGTGATCGCACTATCCCTTCCAACGTTATTGCATATTTGCTGTAAGCTAGCTAACTTAACCTAGTATTTAAAATATACTGACAGAAAATGAACAACAGTGTCAACAGTGACATTTGCATAGTTTTTTTTGATAGCAAAATGTTTCCTACTGGAAGTGTTTTGGGAGTTGAAGGATTTTCGCATGAAGGCCATCAAAATAGCCTTAATGAAAACCCAAAATGTAGTTCAGTAATTAAACTTCTAATCCCCGTTTCTCCTCTGGTTTCCTGCCTGCTCACTGGTTTTACTCCTGGCAGTAATTCAGCGGTTTAATGTCCGATACTTCTCCGAATGTGACACGATCCCCGCTAATTCTCCGATGAGATGACGAGGTGTTAGTCAGGGGCCGTTTCTCAATGTCGAGTAAAGCTGCTGCAGAGCCACTATTTCAAGTATACTACGTCATCGAGTGGCGCTGAAAGCTGGGCATTTAAACATTCCTTCGGCGCCACTCGACGACGTAGTATACTTGAAATAGTGGCTCTGCAGCAGCTTTACTCGACATTGAGAAACAGCCAGGATGTGTAGAGAGAAGAAGAAGAAGCAGCTAAGGGTGTGTTCCTGATCTCAACACAAGCTGATGTTTAAACAGGCTTTTAATTCTCGACAGTCACACGGCGGTGGAACATCCCATCCACTTTGCTTAGCCACTGATAAATGCTAAAAAGCAGAAGGGAAAATTGAATTAGCGATCCCTTGGTGCTGTGATTTTTTTTAATTCTCATCTTTTTGAAGCAACGTTACTTGTGTCCTTCCCTGCTTTCTACCCCAAATCCTTTACATTCCTCTCACTCCTCCCTCAGTCGCCGCCGCCTCCCGACCTCTTTCTCCTTCCTTTTTCCTCCTAATTTCTCCATCTCCTCGCAGAGAACCGTATTTTCCTTCGCCCTCTCCCCTGATCCCCTTGATCCCTCATCAGGGAGGCCAAGTGCAATATCTCCAACCACCGAATTAGCATTTTTCTCATTACCACCTCCTCTCTCCTGCTGCCTCGTCTGGGGATGAAGGCTCCTCGTCTGGAGACCTTTACCTTTTGGGACGAGGGAGAACAAGTCACTCTAGGACATCACCTAATTTTACACCTGTCATTTGTATTTAAATAATAAAGCTTTATGTATATAGCACACATGCAGCTCAAAGTGCTTTACAAAATGACACATCACAAGTTAACAATAAACAACAAGAAATTCCCCTCAGATTATTTGTTAAGAACTTTAAAAAGATACATGCAGCAAAATATAACATTTTATCAGGTTAATAGACACAAGGAGGTTAAAGGTATGATAATACAAATAAAGTAAATAATGGTTTCTCTGACAGATAAGACACAAGACAACTGAGTCGATATAACATACTAAACCCCATAAAACAAAGTGATCACATGAAAAGGGATGCGATAAGCCATTAAAATAAACATTGAATTATTAAAACGGTTTTATAACTATACAATACATCCAGGATACGAAGCAGGACTCCATTGTTATATTAAAAACTTAAAAATGGCTGAGTTTTAATTATTAGTGGCTCCTACTGGGGAAGTGCATCTTCATAAAGAAATCACAAATGTATACTTTAATCGAGATGGAAAGTCTTAATATTGTCTGACTTCTCCAGTGTTTAGTGTCAGATGTAGACCAACTACTGTATGTGTTGCTGTAATGGCTATATTTAGCACTCAACCCCAAAACTAATGCTATTTCTGGGGACATGCCTCTTTAAAAACAGCTCACAAAAGTATATTTTAACTTGAAGATTCTGAAGACAGATGGTCAACGCATTTTGTGCATGGTTAACATTTATTCAAACAGGATATTACACATTTATTTTGGCACTGCTTTCAGCTAGAAATAAATACAAATTTGGTGCACTAAAAAAGATGTACAGCAGTAGGACAATATTAGCGGGATTGAGTCATAAAGTAAAGAGTGTCCACATTAATGGTAATAAAAGTCACCCAGTGCAACAGTGTGGCTCATTAATGTGTTGTTAATAGCTGTAGAAAAAGCACTGACAGAAAATACAGAAACATCATGTCCGATATAAATACATTTTTGATATATGGATTTCGATTTTTTTTTAATTTGAAAATCACATTTGATGTTTGATGTAATTACTACATTTTTTTAAATACATGTAGTTGTGGTTATTTTATGTTAAGAGTCAAATGTATTCTTTCAATTGGATCATAGACCATACCTTAAAAAATAAGCATTGTTTGCTTTGCAGGATAATAGAAGGGTTTGAACCCAAATGCAGCACACAGGAAATCAGGAACAGTTCCTAATTAAGTATCGTTTAAAAACTCAGCTGGCACAGAGCAAGGCTGGTAATGTGCACAGATGTATAAAAAGTCCAAGCAGTCATACTAATAAGGAACAGGCAGAGGGTCAGGGAACCAGTTGATAATTCCTCAAAATAGAAACACCAAACAGCCAGATAGAAAGATTGATATATATATTTGATTAATCCCAATTTGGGAAATTATTTTGTTACAGAAAGAGTGTGTTCAACATTAAAATACAAATACTTAAGTGGTAAAGAGAATTAACAATTAAAAATCAAATGAAAACGAGGAATAGTTTATCAAATATAAATGTTCTTAAAAAAGTCCAAAATACTATAGGGTAAGGTAGACAGAAATTTGGGAAATTATTTTGTTACAGGAAGAGTGAGTTCAACATTAAAATACTTAAAACTTGGAATAGAGAGTTAACAATGAAAATTAAAAATAGTATATCAATTATAAAATATTCTGGATAATTAAAACGTCTTTAAAAAGTCCAACATACTACAGGATAAGGTAGACAGAAACCAGGGAATCAGAGGTAGATAACAAAGTCAGAGACAAAAGGATTGGTGGGTTTACCGGGATTGAAGAAAGGAAGGGTCGGCAACAGGAAGTCAATCCTGAACAAAATGCTGGAGAGTCTTGTTTTTGAAGGGGAATAATGTGGAGTGAGAAAGCATGAGAGCCTTAAACACTGGCCTGATTGCAGATGAATGGCAGCTGGGAGCACAGGTGAGCTGATGCGGTGGGCGGGGCTTATCAGTGGAGGCAGGGCTTGTGGAAAAGAGGTGCTGCAGGTGAGGAGAGGAAGCAGAATGTGAAGAGATGCTAAACTTGGATTAGCATTCTGGTTTGCTAGCTACAGTAGAAGTGACTTCTTAGCATTTCGGACATCACTGAGAGTTGTGGGAATCGTTTGGGATTGAGTTTAGTGTGTTTACCACCTTTAGCACAGGTTTTAGTTAGTAGAACTATGAGTCTTTTTTATATCTGTGGTCAAAATGAAAAGGGACATCTCGACAGGAAGGCTCAGGCAGGGAGGTGATAATTAGCTTATCCAAGGTAAGACTTATAATGATAGGTTGTTAAATGTGTATTTCATCTTTCATATGGCAATCTCATCTCAATCAAGGGGTTGTAATGCTGATGATCAGAAAGTCAAATCTGTCATTTGAATTCATTTTGCTTTAGTAAGTCTCTGAAAAGTGGCTCTACTGTAGTTGTAGAAGCTTGTGCAGAACTGACCATAATTTCCAATAACCATTTCAGTACGGATAACTCACGTGCAAATCTCTAAATAAATATGCAGTATTTACTCTCATATAAAGTGTGAGATTACTGAGCTACAAAACTGATTAATTGGAGATTTAAAATAATCCCCCAAAATCTTTTTTCTGGTGAAAGACCCACATTTACCCCCTCAGAATATTAGCTTGCAAGGTGGCCAATCAGATTGAAAACATTTTGGCTGTATAGGACATTTGTGTTGGTGTGATCAAATCTATTGGAACTATTATCTGGGATTTGTTGCATTTTTTTAAATGTGTAGAATATAACCAGACTCATCCCAGGTGCATCATTGTGCTTAAATTCATGTTTTTATGAGGAAGTTTATCACCATTTCTGCATTGCATTTTTAATTTTCTCTTTTAATCATAATCAGAATGCTTTATTTATTTATATGTGACAGTTTAGAAATAATTGAGAAAAACAAAAGAACATGGATATAAACATAAGATGTTAAAGTACAATGTCCTATTAAAAGATATAATACATATATTTATTTAACTTGTATCTTGGTGATGTATTTCAAGGTAGCTCAAAAGTATCCTTTAATTAAAAATAAAATGAAGAAGTGATCCTAAAAATGTTGTTGAGTTGCTCGTCTTTGTGGCAGATTCACGTATTCACCCCCCTTCGAAAATGACAAATGGTTTCTTCCAAAAGTATTTGTTGTGCATCAATGCTGGAGGACATGATGTAGATTATCAATGTGTTGCCAAAGTGGTTGTTACTGCTCCTTTACTGTTTTGGTCGTATTTAAGACCTCACATTAAATGCAGCGAGCATCAAACCACTGCTAAAGGAGATTATTGTGTTCCATATAATAGTCATTACTGCCGTGAGGATAATAACCAAAGCTCATTTGTTGCTCCATTGTTGTGCTAATTCCTGTGGAGTGAAACAATAGTGAAGTTATTGTTGGTAATATGCTAAGAAAGCTTTCTGGGGACCACAGAAAGCCTCTGAAGGACCCCTGGAGGTCTCGGAGCCCCACTTTGGAGGCTTTCTGTGATGAAACACGCCCAAAAGATCCCAGTCAGAAAGCACAGAGGTGTGATCAGACTTCTGGAAGGTAATTGGCACCAACAGCTGGATATAATCAGCCTGCTGATGATGTCGATGACTTCTCTTAGACATCTGTGATTACACGATTAGAAGTCATTACCATTGAGGCCCAGGACAGAGTTCCTGAACTGGGTCGCTGGGAATTGCAAGAAGGATTTCCAAGGAGTCCCAACCAAAGTGAGGATTAGTTTAATTTCACACATATTTCCCCTCCATACAAGTTACCACAATGCGTCAGAATGCATGTGTTAATCAGAGGTTTCGCTCGCTCTACAAAGAAGTTCAAACATCTTTCATCACAGTGGTGTATATTGAATTTCTATTTCAGTGCCAGCTCTGCAGGGTGGAAATTGAGGTTCACATAATTGGAAAATACATGGAACTTGTTACAGTGGACTGCAGCAGCAGATAAAATATGTACATGTGTCTTGAAATTAACTTTTTTGGGGCAAAATAATCTGGTTTATTTGCAAAAAAACAGGGCAGGAGATTTTTGATATCTGGATCTCTTGACATAACATTTTTTTTTTATCGTATACATTTCCTTCTTAATTTCTATGTAGTTAGAATGAATTGATATGATGGGTCTTGTGTATTGTTTTAATAATGTCATACAGTGGTGCATATTAAATTGGACTAGTTAGAGTAGAGATGGACTGGTTACAGTGTGCTGCTGCAGAAGATACTAAAGGATGTAAAAGTGTCTCGAAATGCACTTTGAGACATTCATTTTGTGTGTTTAAAAGTAATTACTTGCAATTTCTAAAGAGATTTTGAATACCTGGATTTATATATTTTTTTATATTTTATTACTTTTTATTGTACTCAATATTTTCTTTAAATATATGTAGTGGTTTTAGATCATGAGTCATGCATATTTTTGTGATTTCACTTCCTCACAAATCTTTCATCATACATGGTTCATACGTATTAAATTGGAGAAGACATGGATTTGTTACACTGAAGGTTGAAAGATTTAAAATGCACTTTGAAACCTTAATTTTTTTGCATTTAAAAAACTGCTTTTATTCAAATGTCAAAACATTCTTACTGTTAAAAAGACAAATAAAGAAACAAAAGGTTAAAAACTATTTTGAAAAGCGTCTTAAAAACAAAACAGCGAAAAAACAAGAGATAAGAAGCAGAGTGCACATGCTGCGATGATAAAAAAGCAGAATAAGGGGACATAAAATATGGCCTTGATGCATGATGAGCATAACACGTGTGTGCCCACGCTCTGAAGAAAATAAATGCCTTTGTTCAGTTGCTTTCTTCACAGCTTCATCTGTACTTTTTCCATTTCAGAACTATCATGAATTGCAACCTGAAGACGATCCAGCCGCGAGCGTTCGCTCAGAACCCACACCTACGCTACATGTGAGTAAATATTCTATCTTTGACAGCCATGTTTGCCGAGCCCTCAAAAGATTTGTTATGATCTGTGACGCCTGACAGCTTGTAGCATATGGCTGCAGATGAGTTAGTGTTAAGCAGAAGATGATGCAGTTGATAGAGACTGGCTTCGGGGGAACTGTGGCTCTGCCATTACTGTCGCAATAGCCTGCACATCGTAAATGAGACATCCATTATTTGCCTCGGATAATTGGATTCCTATCGGCCCCGGTTCTTTGTGCTTGGTTAGAGCAACATGCCAAAGACGCAGTTCCATTTAGACCGCACTTCCCAAATGGACAATTTGTCCAGGAGGCCAGGCATCACAGAGCTGTGCAGAGAGCAAAGTAATTTATTTAACAAAGGCTGATGTGTCACCGTATGACAGGCTGTTATTCCTCAATTTTCTACGAGTAAACACGGTGAGGGACTCAGTCACAGTCCTTTACCTGAACACATTGCCATTTGCAATTTCCAGTTTGCTCTCTTTGCTGCTGCCGATCACTGCTGTTAGACCTGAGTATGTGCACTCTGTAGTGTGTGTGTGTGTGTGTGTCTGTGTATGTGGGAGGCAAGAAGGCAGGCTGTTGTCCATAATGTGGATGCTTAAGTTAAATCAGTATTTGACGTTTGAGAATACAAGATTGCTTTTGGTCTCTTTGGCGTGGGTGGGCGTGTGAACACTTTTGCAAAGTAATGTACCTTTTGCTCGAATCTTTATCTTGTCAGGTGATTGGTAGAGCTAATTAAGCTCATCAACATTTAATGGAAGTTATTTACCCCCCCCCTCTCTCTTCTCTTTAATTGTCTCTCCAGAAGATGGATTTACTAACACAAGACTTAAAAAACCAATAAATGATTTGAACCTTCTCACCTGTTACCTCCCTATCACTAAAAAAATAATTGCTGTGCAGCGATCGGGACTTAAAAAGCTTGAGATTGTATAAGAGATATACAAACATTAAGTGAGTGGGTCATGATGCTTTATCTACTTTGTTCTCACCTGTGAGGTTAGTGATTACATATCACAAGGCTTAGTTGAATACTCAATTCTGATTGGTCAATTGTGGGATACCAGATATTGTTAATACTTGCTAAGGGGGCTCAAAGAACTTTGTGCAGTTATATCAATCCAGAGAAAGAAGTCTGGTAAATGTAACATCAGCTGTGGACAACAAACGAACAAGAGAACAAACAAACAAACGAACAAACGAACAAGAGAAGGAAATAGTTCAAAAGACAGAGAGCTGGACGTAAGAGAAATCAACAGAAGAAGCCATACAGGAAGTAAATGTGCACTGTCCCTCTTCAAATAAACGATTAAATGAAAATGAAAATGAAAATAAACACTGAAGGGAACAGCAGAAGAAGACAGACAGGAAGTAAACACTAAAGGGAACAGCAGAAGAAGACAGACAGGAAGTAAACACTAAAGGGAACAGCAGAAGAAGACAGACAGGAAGTAAACACTAAAGGGAACAGCAGAAGAAGACAGACAGGAAGTAAACACTAAAGGGAACAGCAGAATAAGACAGACAGGAAGTAAACACTAAAGGGAACAGCAGAAGAAGACAGACAGGAAGTAAACACTAAAGGGAACAGCAGAAGAAGACAGACCGGAAGTAAACACTAAAGGGAACAGCAGAAGAAGACAGACAGGAAGTAAACACTAAAGGGAACAGCAGAAGAAGACAGACAGGAAGTAAACACTAAAGGGAACAGCAGAATAAGACAGACAGGAAGTAAACACTAAAGGGAACAGCAGAAGAAGACAGACAGGAAGTAAACACTAAAGGGAACAGCAGAAGAAGACAGACAGGAAGTAAACACTAAAGGGAACAGCAGAAGAAGACAGACAGGAAGTAAACACTAAAGGGAACAGCAGAAGAAGACAGACAGGAAGTAAACACTAAAGGGAACAGCAGAAGAAGACAGACCGGAAGTAAACACTAAAGGGAACAGCAGAAGAAGACAGACAGGAAGTAAACACTAAAGGGAACAGCAGAAGAAGACAGACAGGAAGTAAACACTAAAGGGAACAGCAGAATAAGACAGACAGGAAGTAAACACTAAAGGGAACAGCAGAAGAAGACAGACAGGAAGTAAACACTAAAGGGAACAGCAGAAGAAGAAAGACAGGAAGTAAACACTAAAGGGAACAGCAGAAGAAGACAGACAGGAAGTAAACACTAAAGGGAACAGCGTTTAAAGACTGGTTCATGGAAAATAAACTGTGAACGGACTTGGACAGTTGGAGAAAAACCTTGAGTAAGGCCATTTGTACGCAGTGGAACAAACTATTTTTCTTAACGGAAGCAATACGATCATTTGTAATTAAATACAATCATCTGTTATCAATATTTTGAGCCAGGTCATTGGTTTAGTTTGCACGTAACTGTGAAATAAGCTGGATAATGTGCAGCGAGGCGGTCATTAATGATCAGGATCCTGATGAGAAGCACAGAACTCCACATTCTCCCATCCATACATCACGTGTCATTTAGTAGACGCTTTTGTCCAAAGCAACTTACATGCACTTAAATTAAGTAATTTGGTGTCAAGTACCTCGCCAAAGGACACGTGACTTGTTGACTTGTTGACTCTAATTCCCCCCCCTGAGCCACACATTATAAAGCAAACAATTACAGCCAAAACTAAGTGTTAATTCAAGCTTTCTATCCTCTTTTTAAAGGTCTCTCACTATGTACAAATTCTCTTTAGATTCAGTCGAGAAAACCTGATAAATGCTGTTCTCCAAATAGAAAAGATAAATGAAGTTCACCCCCCCCAGACGGTCCGTGACAGGCTCGTTTTGTGGTCTCATTAATGCAGATGGACTGTTGCTAGGTGACTCGGAGGATGATGATGTCAAGGAAGATTAATTATTATGCCTAAGCTTAGCCTCAGAAGGCCGACCTCATTGATGTCTGTGTCAGTCGCTCCGCTTGCAATCAAACGCTCAACTGGTCGCTCTTTGTGAGGGGAAATGAAACGTCTCTGTGTGAGGCCCAAACATTCAATAACAGACGGATACAGTGAACCTCATGACTGCAATAACACCAACCACACATGTAGTGCACTTACTTTTCAATTAATTACATCGTATAACATTAGATACTCTTTATTGATCCCAAATTGGGAAATTGTTTTGTCACAGCAGCATGTTAACAAGGTATTGAAGGAAGAAATAAAACAGGAAATGTCTTCATAAACAGTAGAAATCTATATATCTAGAGGTGGAAGTATTCAGATATTTTACTTAAAGGGGACCTATCATGCAAAATGCACTTTTGTACGTCTTTTACACATGAATATGTGTCCCCGGTGTTCCAGGGAACTCACCAAGTGTCAGAAAACACAACCCTCTCTATTTTCCTCCATACCCAAATCTCTAAAAAAGGGGCTGCAACGGATCTGATAAAAACTGATCCAGATTTGAACACTGTCCTGACGTCAGGACGGTGGCGCTACGGCTATTGGGCCAACTCCACCAATCAGGAGGAGACAGCCACGGCCATTGCCGTTCGAAAGCGCTGGAGACGCTGTGGTACATATGCCAGGCCTGTAGATGGTGCTGTTCTCACTGAATCTGCCCAGAGCTAGAAAATGTCAAATTGAGCGAAATGAGGCATGGCTAAAATGCATGATCTGTTTGGTATTTTGAAAAAAAAAAAGTATAAATATGCCTTATATAGGTATGGTCCTACACTATATTATTCAAATATAGCATGATAGGTCCACTTTAAGTTAAAGTAGCGAAACTAATACTCTATTACAAATAAATCCTGCATTCAAAATATACATAAACAGACTTAAGTTTCAGGTTTAATATATATTGAATTACTGGATTATGATGATGGATGCATTAATGTGTTCATCACAGCTGGTAAATGTGGAGCTTTTTTAAATTAGTGCTGGATATTTTAACCTATGATTATATGTCAATCTTTATTAATTGGTTTATTCATATTTTGTCATCTTTATGAGTAGAAAAGTAGCATAAACTGAAAATACTCATTACTTCATAATGTTCCAAAACTGTATATGTATGTAGAGTATCTATATAATACAACTTATAAAATATACAGAATAATCAATCAATCAATGTTTATTAATATAGCCCAATATCACAAATGTTACATTTGTCTCAGTGGACTTCACAGTTTGTACAGAATATCAGTATGCAATACGACACCCTCTGTCCTTAGACCCTCACATCGTACAAGGAAAAACTTCCAGAGAAAAACCCCACAGTTTAAAGGGGAACATGGGAGAGACCTCAGGGAGAGCAACAGAGGAGGGATCCCTCTCCCAGGACGGACAGACGTGCAATGGATGCCGTGTGTAAAGTGAAGAGATAATACATTTTACAGCGTAGGTAGACCAAATGTTTGGAAATGCATGCGTCTATAATAAGAAGATGAATCCAGGAGGATGTCAACAATCCTGTGGGAGCCATCTATACTATAGGAAGTAGTATGATAAGAGTCAGGCAGGACCGCAGAGACAGGTTCAGCCACGACTCGAAGTCCAGGACTCAGATCCAGAACTCAGGATAGAGGATCCAGGACACAGGATCCAGGACTCAGGATTAAGGATCCAGGACTCCGGATCCAGGAGTCAGGATGCAGGATCCAGGACACATGATTCAGGATCCAGGACACAGGACCGCAGCAACAGGATCAGCCACGACTCAGGATCCCGGCGTAGATAGACACCAAAAAGAAATGTGGGGGAAGCTGGGTTATTCGGAACATGAGAGTACGCAGGTACAGACAGACAGAAGGAAGAAGTAAGGTGTCCCCCGACAGTCTAAGCCTATAGCAGCAAAACTAACGTGTCTACGTACATGCACTCCCTTAGGATAGGTTGAGGGAAAGGGGTAAGAAGTAAGGAACAGAGGTGGAGAGGCACAACGTGTCTACGTACATTCACTCCCTTAGGATAGGGTGAGGGATAAGGGGTAGCAAGTAAGACATACGGAA